ATCTACAAGAAATCTGCATCATCTCGATTAAGGATGCAGCATCATTTGAGTCCATGGAAAATCTCAAAACAGCTGTTTTTCCCGCATCGTTTTGCCTCAATTTTAATATTGAGGAAGCAATACTGTACAATTGAGCTACTCCTTACTGAAAGTTGAAGCAAGCGATGATCGATGTGTAAGCTGGGGACTCAATTATACAACGGTTAATTAACTAATCTCTGTTACTTATTGCATGCAAAATAAAGTTTTCAAGGTGATGTGTTAGCTTTTGAAAGGGTGGTCAAAAGTGTCAAATTTTCTAAAATGAAATGATACTGGCCCATTCTTAACAGACTTGATAGTTAAAATCCCAACAAATGTTGTGTTAAAAGTGCTATTTATTGAACAGTGAATTCTTGCAGTAGACAATCGTGCAATATCTAAACTGTCGCTGATTATATCTGTAATCACAAACAGAAATGTTTTCGATAGTTTTAATGTCCACAAACAACTCTCACACAGTTTTGATGACATTATGTTTGAGCTAAAACTATTTCCAGTGTGACTGAATCTTTGACTCTGTAACAGCTTGGTAGCTTCGTGCAGTAACTGCTTTCCTGTTTTATTTGAAGCTCAACGCCATAAATCAAGCAATTAATAAACGAATTTCCAACTTCAAATAGATAAAGAGACGTCTTCCAGGTTGATTTCCTCTCCATTGCATATATTTAGTCTTCAAGTGATGAACTGAAATAAAACATAGGTTTGGTTTTTGCAGCATCTTCCATACAACTCGAGGGTGCATAAAAGCATGGAATCCTGGTGTTTGCTAACTTGCATCCAGCTTTTAAGAACCGGGGATTGTTCAGCGGATACAACAGTTGACCGGGTTTTTCTGACCCAGATATCGGTCCAACGAACTTTGGTCTAATGACCTTTCCGTACGGACGGCACTTTTTGCGCTCAATACGTGCGACGTGTCCAGCGCCACGTGTAAAACGGTGACTCATCAAACTAAATCATCTGTACGGTATACTTGCTGGCAGTATAATAGATGTTTTATTCCTGTTGGCATTTGATCAAAAAAAATACTGCTGTTGACAACGGGATCCCGGGAATTTCCTAGTAGTCAAGAATGTGCTTTATAGGACGATTGTTTATTTTGCAACTAATCTTTGCATTAATTGTGCTGTCTGAGTTTCACATTTAAATGAGCAAATTGAGCCGAGTTCTGCGGATTGGCCTACTGTATATACATTACTCAACAAAAGTTAAGGACCATTTTTTATTTTGTCGTTTGAGTTCCCTGAAAATGTTCATTTTGAGAAAATGTGCATGATGTTTTGAAGCATTTTTAAATTTTTTATTCCAAGGAGAACACCATCTAGACAAAAAAATGAAACAACTACCCCACTCGTTACAACAAAATTACTAGTTAGAAAAAAGGGGTTCTTAACTTTTGAGTCGATATAGCCTATAAGAAAATATCCATCGACGTGTACTTTACGCTGTCAGATTCAGATCCGGTTTAAGTTTATTGATAAACACACACAGTTTAAAGACGAGACAAGTTTCACTATCCTTTATCTTAAAATCTGTCTTGCAATAGTAACATAAGAAATCCTGTTCAGAGAAGAATTAATAACTATCAGTACATGTAGATAAAATCCAAAAGACTTGCAGGCGAAATCTGTTCGCATTGCGTTGTCACGCTCGATCGGTTACCCTAAGCAAATCGAACTTTTAATTCACAAGCAAAGAAAAAAGGGCATCCATTTTTGTTTGTATTCTGTCTGGAGTGAAGAAACCAACGTGTATACTATGGTTTGCTTTCCAGGGACAAAGGGTAATTGGGGTGCGCTCCACTGCAGGCAGCCGTGCCAGCTGTATATAAGGAAAGTGACGTCATTACTTCCTCGTCATGACTGAGCTCCCTTGAATGCATAATGTGATTTAAGATAATGGTGCAGCAGTTAGGGACGACCTGCAAGAAACATGGCACATCCATATTTGTCATTGAATATTAACTAAATCACGGCTGGATTTTTCCTCAGTTCGTTTGTTGCTGCAATTTTGGAATTATTTATTGCTCCTGTATTACCGAAAGTCGTTTATTTCTTTCCACAGTAACAAACTTAACAAATTATCTAGGTTTATTTGTTCATTTCTTGTCATTTTCCCGAGTTTTTGTTCCGCGGAAGAACACAACCAGGGATGGTCTGCGGCGCACCCGCCAACCAGGCATAGCCTAATTCGTCACATCACACGGGGTATTAAAAGGCGGCAGGACAGTGCGAGTGGCACCGTCGTCAGTCTCAAAGATCATAAGTTTGGAAAGAATAAGTAAATCGGACAAAAATGCGTGAAATTGTTCACATTCAAGCTGGACAATGCGGCAACCAAATTGGCGCTAAGGTGAGACCGAAGATTTTGCCTTTCCTGTTAATTATAGGGCATTGATCTTTAAGTTTGTTTTCTTGCTTTTTTAAGCCTGGTTAAATCGCTTGAAGATCTTTATTTTAGGTTCCCTAAAGAGTTTAGATGAGGATGTCTGTCCCAGGGCAGGTGACTTGTGTTGGGACCTCCCAACAAAAACAGCAAGGTCTATTATGGGACTTTAGGTGAAGGTGACCGCCTTACCTTTGGAAGGGTTGCCTGTGATAACGTTGTATGATATATCTCCCTGCATAATACATCAATCCTAGGGTATACTTTGGGCGTGCAAAATAAAATAAATTTTTGTTTAATTTTGGTAAAATGACAATGAGGATTTGAAGACACCAATTGCTTGATATTTGGGGAATATTTTGTGACACGGTATGCATTGATTTCCTCTGTTTTCAACATTCCGAGTTTACTGTTAAAGTCAAAAGAATTGAACTTGCGCTGGTGTAAGATTTCATTCATTTTGTGTCTGACATATGCGGCAATAAAGTCCTTTCCCATTCCTGATTTTTTTTTCTCTTAAAATAATTCTCCAGCTTGCTGCATTCTTCCTGTCAGTCTGCATCGACTGCCACAACATCATTTTTAGCCTGATAAGTTAAAAATTGCATATTCCCCAAACTAGACACGAACATGCATGGTTTGGGGGCATTTGGGCACCGATAACCCATATAATATTATATGAATAAAGAAATGAAGTACCATGGGGCAGATTGAGCCTGGAAAATAATTTCTAGGTCGATTTTTATAACTCTATTGTGCTCGTGATTAAGAGTATGGATGACGTTTGGGGTAAAGAGACATGAACTTTGTTTGAACAAGGCGCTGCAAAGCCTTTAACATTGATAATGATTGCGGATCTTAGTATTTTGACCAATGGGCCTGTAAACTAAATTATGACTTATATTTTCCATCTCTCATTTGCGAACAGTTCAGGGGAAACACTTTATCGATCAAATTTTAATTGAGGGGGTCATCTTGAAGCAAACTGGTCAGTTTTGATGATTTCTAAATACTGATAAACATAACCAGTGTCGGCAAAAATCACGTGAATAAATGAGGATTGTCGCTCAAAGTCGAACCACATCTAGCTATGCGAATGACCGTGATGGTAAATTACCAAAGGTGATAGTGACGAACATGTCATTGACACTAATCGGTCATAAAATTCTAAAAAGGCAAAGGCCAGACTGATCCTAAAGACCCTGTAGAAATTTATGCAGCCGTACACTGGTGCCCATCGCAAACTGTATTATATTATTCCATATTATATTATTCCATAATATCATATACTTCATAATGAGTAACAGATGAAACAGTGAGGCTAAAGAGACATCATCATGAATGTTTATCAAATTTTAATTTCTCTCATTTTTTGGTGAGCAGCGATGCTTTCTCCCATCTAGATAAGTAATTACCTCCCCTGCACACTCATTGGGAATGCAAGCAATGTGCAACATCACCATGCGCATATTTTGGCGTCTAGCAGTGCGGATGAATTTGTCTATGTTTAGCATTTATTGATCTCGGCTCTTAAAAACTCCCGATGTATCTCCTAGCAGAAACAAGGTCATTGATGTCTTCTAATGTTGGGTTTTTCCACGTTAGTAAATTTTTTGATACATGTAAAGACTTTTTCAAGCAAACAATGAACTACTTTTTTCACGCGGATTTGCACATTTATTGCGGTGCGCATGTGTAATTAGACCTTATGACAACCATTCGCCCTGTCATTAGCAATTCTGCATTCCCAACCTGTCAGACGTTGTTGAGAACCATTTTTTGCTAGATAAAGCATTCCAGACTGTTTTCCTAAGTTTACAACATGCGTGAAATTGTGCATCTCCAAGCAGGCCAGTGCGGTAACCAGATCGGTGCTAAGGTAGGTGCTCATGCCTGGCGAAGCTATAGCGTCGGCACAAACGTTTAAATTGCTTTTTAAAACAAGTCTGAAAACTGAAAATGTCAGATGAGCGACACATTGATAATCCGCCGTCATGATGACGGCTTATTTGCTATATACCCATCTCGATAGTAATGCTGGTTAGCTACAAAATGACCAGAATGTAGCTTTACATTACGTTATTCGAAATAGTCTCTGCATGAATTGTGCATCTGGACAAAAACGCCATGCAACGAACTCCATAGCACTTTTTGCCTGTGTGATTAATATAAAATTACAAATGCATGTACGCGGACATGTATGGACTTTTTACATACTGTTTGATGATAGTTTCGGCTTCCTCGTCGACATTTCCTGGTCCCTCAATCGATATTTTTTCTAGATGTTTATTTTTACTGTGGTCTTTTTTCGCTTGTGTTATTTCTTTCAATTCGAATAAATTTGTACTTGCATTTATGACGTTTCAACAATAAGGAAAAATGATAGTGGTCCTGTAGCCATGTCCTTATGCCCACAGGCGTATAGCCAAGGGGCGAATTCAGATTGGAAGTAGGTTAAAAATTTAATGATCGGATTGCTGAAGAAAGCATAATTGGAACTGGAAAATGGATTATAATTGTAAAACTGGGAAGATTAAAATATAACCAGCGAAAGCATCGAGTAGTGTGCTGCCAAAAAATTGGCATATTTACTATAGTTTCTTCTCAGTTCAACATCATTACATGGACCCAAACAGTACTTACATTGTATATTTTGCACTTTGAAAACAAACATCCTAGAGCTAAGTTTCTACTTGACCCTCTACGTCATTGTTTACCGGTGCAAAATATGTAGCAGCGATATCAGTTTGCAATATTTACAGCGCTGTTACCTCTGCGTCATTTTCTCGACTGTTAAAGGCATGAATGATCTTCGTGTACTTTGAAACATACAAGAAAACTCTCATAAAAACATATAGATGATGTACCCAGTTCCAGAAACCTGATCTTAAGAGTGCCTCTTTAAGAGAAGGAAAACCTGAAAATTGAGGAAGTTGGTTTCCTGAACAGCTCTAGTCCAAAAGAAGAAAATGTCCATATTTGCCGTTCATGTTGCCTGTTGTGTTAAAACTCAGAGTGACACATGTCTGAACATAATGAGACCGAGATTTGCCTTCGGCCCTGCGCGACCTACACGACCTACATTGTGTAACCAGTATGGAAAGTGAAACCTGTCTGTAATGCGCCTCGACTGTTTTCCTTGTGTATATGATGATACTTGTTATATATAAATGCATATGCCAAATGTTAATTCAATATAAAACTGGCGGTGATGTCATGAAATATGCCTACAGACCCATGGTATAGACTCATGGTAGTGTGGCACCGTTCATGCCGGCAAACCTTGTGAGATTTTAAAAAGGTAAAATCATGCTGTACTCAATGGAAAGTGACATCTCTCATTTCCAGTTGATTATTTTTTTTTCGCCTCTTTTCCAACTTTTTTCAAAAATTTCAAAAATTGTTTGACTAATATCTAACTTAGTTATGGAATGATATTTTTAAATTACTGATTTTTATGACAGTTCTGGGAAGTGATATCTGATGAGCATGGCATCGACCCAACCGGCACATACCACGGTGACTCTGACTTGCAGTTGGAGAGAATCAATGTTTACTACAATGAAGCTACCGGAGGGAAATATGTACCCCGAGCTGTACTGGTCGACCTGGAGCCAGGCACCATGGACTCTGTCCGCTCTGGTCCATTTGGTCAGATCTTCAGACCCGACAATTTCATCTTCGGACAGAGTGGAGCTGGAAACAACTGGGCCAAGGGTCACTACACCGAGGGGGCTGAGCTGGTAGACTCTGTACTGGATGTTGTGCGGAAGGAAGCAGAGAGCTGTGATTGCCTTCAGGTAATTGTGGCAGATTCTGGCTTTCAAAAAGTAGATTTTCTTTCAAAGCAAACACCACATAAGCCAAATTTTACTCAACGTCTTTTGTTCTCGTTTTTCAGGGTTTCCAACTGACGCATTCCCTTGGTGGCGGCACTGGCTCAGGCATGGGAACACTTCTCATCAGCAAGATCCGTGAGGAGTACCCAGACCGCATCATGACCACTTTCAGTGTCGTCCCATCTCCCAAAGTCTCAGACACTGTCGTTGAGCCATACAACGCCACCCTCTCTGTCCACCAGCTTGTAGAAAACACAGATGAAACCTTCTGCATTGACAACGAGGCCCTATACGACATCTGTTTCCGCACCCTGAAGTTGACCACCCCAACCTACGGTGATCTCAACCACCTTGTGTCTGCTACCATGAGTGGTGTTACCACCTGCCTGAGGTTCCCTGGTCAACTCAATGCCGACCTTCGCAAGCTGGCTGTCAATATGGTGCCTTTTCCTCGTCTCCACTTTTTCATGCCCGGCTTTGCTCCCCTGACCAGCAGAGGCAGCCAGCAGTACCGTGCCCTGACCGTTCCCGAGCTGACCCAGCAGATGTTCGATGCCAAGAACATGATGGCTGCATGTGACCCTCGTCATGGCCGCTACCTGACCGTTGCAGCTATGTTCCGTGGCCGTATGTCCATGAAGGAGGTTGATGAGCAGATGCTGAACGTGCAGAACAAGAACAGCAGCTACTTTGTGGAATGGATCCCCAACAACGTCAAGACCGCCGTCTGCGACATCCCACCACGCGGTCTCAAAATGGCTGTCACCTTCATCGGCAACAGCACGGCCATCCAGGAGCTGTTCAAGCGCATCTCTGAGCAGTTCACCGCTATGTTCAGGCGCAAGGCTTTCCTGCATTGGTACACCGGCGAGGGTATGGATGAGATGGAGTTCACTGAGGCTGAGAGCAACATGAACGACTTGGTGTCTGAGTACCAGCAGTACCAGGATGCAACAGCTGAGGAGGAAGGCGAGTTTGATGAAGAAGAGGAAGAAGGCGAAATTCAGGAGTAGAAGAACTTTTGAGAAGTGAAGAAGAAGAACCCAAAATTATTATTAAATCAACGGTAACACAAGTAATAATCGCGTATTCGCTCATACCGAAGCATTTCACCCTGAACACCTTGTGGTCATGTTCTACAAAGACAAAGCATTTTAATTCGGTTTAAAAGTTCGTCGTTACTTCCTCGTGAAGTTAAAATCTTCCTTATGAAGGTCCAGTGCTCTACTTAATGTGTTTTGTGATATCAAGTTCTGTGTGGAAATTCTAAACAAGTGAGAAACTTGAGTAATGAGTGATCAATAATTAAAATCGATTTAGAAAGCTCAAACTTATCGTTTAAAGTAAAAAAAAAGTGCAAGACTGTACATTCTGCTCATAACGCGGACGTTTGCGCAGATGCGTATTTCAACTTAGGATAACATCTCATGATTTCATTCTAAGCTGTTTTATAACGCAAGTTACTTTCATGCTTTTGATATAGAGTGCCATCTTTGACCGATTCTTGTATCACTAAAGGTATGAACGGTCCTCAATAATTATGTCAAAGTCTGGGAAAATTAAATGAGAAATAACTGTGCAAGTGTAATGCAGTTTCTTTAAAGGTCTTTAAAGTCCTGTCCCCTTTCAAATGAATCTAGTGTTGAAGTTAAGTCCACTTCATCTGAATTCAAGTCGAGCTTCGTTCGGTAGCGCTGGAAATTCTGCCAACTTCCCGTTCTTCTGTGCAGGCGTGGCATACATAGTGTGGACCTCTGCACAAAAAAGTCCACATAATGTAGGGTGCGATGGCATTGTGAGGACTCGCACATGTCCACACAATGTTTTCTCCTCTCTGAAAAACAGTTTCAGAAGCATTTGGGGTCAATGTTATCCGTGGCAAAATGAAGAGGAACAGTCCAGGAAATCATCCTCAAAATCCAGCTCGAAGGAGTTATCTTAGTTCGACAAAAAGGAGCATTTTCCTCAAGTTTCCTTAACAACAGGAGAACAAAGGAATGTCCACACTTTGTATGTAAAACAGGTGTGTGATTGTTCGAGTCCGTTAACAAGTGAGCCCAAACCGTCGAGTCCAAGCCGTGTCATGGAGGGTAGCGTGTTTTCTTTTAATCCGAAACATTGTGTATTAACTACACAAAGATCAACCCTTAACAAACTTATCGTCCAGAAAGGTGCAGATGTTATTGTTTACCTGGAGGGATCCGCTACAGAAAGAACAAGACATATGCAGCAAGGT